GCTGTATGAAACAGCGCGAGGCTGAGAATCTCCGATGAGACCAAGCAGGCATCCGCTAGGCTGAAGACTTGGCTTTCCAATGGGATTGGCAGTGCTGCCTTCGACTAGTACAGTACAGTAGTTAGTAGTAGTCACGGCACCCAGCCTAGTTATTGAATGATTGTTCGATTAGATAAGCGCATTCGGTGAACTTGGTGACTCGACATGACTCAAACTAGCATGGACGGTGATATAGTCGGTGGAATTGCCAGGAATCTGCTCCTGGCCCTATATAACCAAGACTAAGGCATTGTCGCTCAAGTGATAGCGAGATTGTTCTAGGTTCTCTTGTGAGCGTGCCTGTCGTGGCCAACCCGGGAATCTACTTTTATCGGAAAGTTTTTTGATAAGATAAGTAACCCCCGCCACGTGACTGCTCCACCGATCGGAGTCACTCAACTTTTTTTTCTGCCTCGTCCTTCCACCCCTCTTGCGGCATCGTTCACGTCTGTCGTCACCACAAATACTACGGTCGGTCGCTGCAAAGATGAAGTACGTTCTGGTCTCTGGAGGTAAGTTGGAACTCATTGTCTCCCCCGGGTTGATCTCTGTCCAAATCCTCTAACGGGAAACTCCTCAATTAGGTGTCATTTCCGGCGTGGGCAAGGGCATTATTGCCTCCAGCACCGGTCTGCTCCTCAAAACTACTGGTCTTACGGTTACCAGTATCAAGATCGACCCTTACATCAACATCGATGCGGGCACTATGGCACCTACCGAGTCAGTATCTTGAGATCCGGCTTTCTGGTGCTGACCCCGTTTATTGACATCCCCCAGACACGGTGAGGTCTATGTCACTGATGACGGCGGTGAAATGGACCTTGACCTTGGCAACTACGAGCGCTACCTGCTCACGTCGCTCACTCGGGACCACAACATCACCACGGGAAAGGTGTACCAGGATGTCATCAACCGCGAGCGTATCGGCCACTACTTGGGCAAGACCGTCCAGGTCGTGCCCCACATCACCGACGCCATCCAGGAATGGATTGAGCGCGTCGCCCGGATCCCCGTGGACGAGTCCCGCGCCGAGCCGGACGTCTGCATTATCGAGCTGGGCGGTACCGTCGGAGACATTGAGAGTGCTCCCTTCATCCACGCCCTGAGCCAGCTGCAGCGTAAGGCCGGCAAGGGCAACTTTGTCCAGATCCACGTCTCCTACGTGCCGGTCATCCCCCCCGGACCCGGTGGTGAGCAGAAGACGAAACCCACACAGAGAGCCATCAGCGATGTGCGGAGTGCCGGTCTCAGCCCGGACCTGATTGCCTGTCGCTGCGAGCAGCCCCTCGAGGCGAGCACTATCCAGAAGATCGCCAACATGTGCTCGGTCGAGCAACACCAGGTCATCGCTGTGCACAACGTGACGACGACGTATCACGTCCCCCTTCTGCTGGAGAAGCAGAAGCTCATCAACACAATCACCCAGATGCTCGATCTCACGCCGATCCAACCCACCCCCGAGCGGATCGAGCGCGGCAGCCGCATGTGGAAGGACTGGGTCGACCTCGCCCAGGGACAGGATTTCCTGCACGACCCGGTGACCATTGCCCTGGTTGGCAAGTACACCTCCCTCCACGACGCCTACATCAGTGTGTCCAAGGCCCTCGAGCACGCCGCCATGTTCTGCCACAAGAAGGTCAAGATCATCTGGGTGGACTCGTCGCACTTGGAGGACGGAACCGCCCCCGCCGACTACCACAAGGCGTGGCATTCCGTGTGCACCGCGGACGGTGTTCTGGTGCCCGGTGGCTTCGGCAACCGCGGTACGGAGGGTATGATGAAGGCCATCACGTGGGCCCGGACCAACAAGAAGCCCTTCCTGGGAGTCTGTCTGGGTATGCAGCTGGCTGTGCTGGAGTACTGCCGCAACGTGGTGGGCATCGAGGACGTCGGCAGCGAGGAGCTGCACCCGGCGGCCGAGAACCACGCCATCGTCTACATGCCCGAGGTCGACAAGGGCAAGCTTGGCGGGACGATGCGTCTTGGCAAGCACCCCTGTATCTTCCAGGAGAACACCGAATGGTCCCGCCTGCGGGGCATGTACGGCCCCTCGGTCTCGCAGATTGAGGAGCGCCACCGTCACCGCTACGAGGTCAACCCGGCCATGATCGAGCAGATCGAGAAGGCCGGTCTCACCTTCATCGGCAAGGACACCAAGGGTGAGCGGATGGAGATTGTCGAAATCCAGGACCACCCCTGGTTTGTCGGCGTCCAGTTCCACCCGGAGTACCTGAGCCGTGTCTTGAGCCCCAGTCGGGCCTTCCTCGGTTTCTTCGCTGCCGCCGCCGGCTGCCTGGACGAGGTCTCCAAGGCCGTTGTCCAGGGCCAGCGCAGTGTTGCTCGCAAGCAATAGGATGCAAAACTTGTGGATTACGAACGGGAAAGAAGGAATACGACTAGTAGCCTTGCGGGAGTTCCATTGGGAGGGATTCTGATGATGGCAATCATAACTTACTTTGCTTTCTGGGCGTTGTGAAAATATAAATTTGGTAGTTAGAAGGCCAGTGTGTGTGTGTGTGTGTCAAATGCAGTTTGTGACTTATGAGTCCCGTTTTGCTGTATGTACTTAATGTCGAGGAGCTGTCTTCTCCTGACGAGGTGAATAGATTTCAACTTTGTCGTGTCGCAGCGTATGCACTTGTGGGTTCTATCTAGAAGCCCGCGCACCTCGTGTATAGTCTTCTCGAATCAACAACACTGGACATTATAGTCAACTGTGTACCCACTCCGCAGAGAACGTGGACAATCTCCCATCTTGATTCGACTCGTTACATTCAACCCTGAAGAACCGATGCGCATGTTTGTTATTCTGCAAGATCAGGATCTGGGTTGACGCGCATTTCCGATCGCAATTGGGAATGTGGGGACGTGGTTACTGGGTGAACCCAGGTATTCAGTCGCTGTCAGTAGCAACGTGAGCGAGTATTAATGACGCATGGTAAGAATGCGAGACACTCAGCATCTCTCATGATCATTGCTCGTGAGCTTTGTTTGCCTCGCGGGATGAGATTGCAAGGTAGGTAGGTATAAACCACTTTGTCTCTGAGCCAAAGGGGTTCGTCCCGCAGGTTGGAGTTTGTGCGAGGAAAGAGAGAGACAACCCGTGTTACCTATATATATCTCAGAAACTACCCATCTTTGTTTCCACAGGTGTGGGTGTAAATGTGGGTGGTAGTAACACAGACATTGTGAACTGTGGAGAGATCCTTTCGATGACCCCATGCGGTCAAGTTACTATATATATCGACGCCGCCTTAGTCGTAGCCGTATTGTTGTTGTTTTCTGGATCTATCACATCGAATGCGACAACCCCAGCAAATCAAATAAATCTACGCTGTCATATGTCGATGATATGGGAAATACGACAACCGTCGCGTGATATTTCCCATTTCCCCCGCAATAACCTCACTTTGTTCTGGATGCTGGTGGATGTGGCTGCTGTCAGGGCCGGGTTTGGTGCCAACGGTTACGACGGAGTCCAAACCGTCGTTGTGTTTCACCAGTAAGAGTGACAGATGGAGACTGTCCAGTCTGACAGGTGGTTCTGATGTCACATGCGCTTTTTTTTTTTTTCTTTTTGTTCTGGTTGCTGGTGGTTGGGGCCAGCACTGCTGCTGCATGTTTAGACAGTATAGTCGGAGTACACAGATAGAGACAACAATCGATTGTGTAAAGAAAGAGATCTTTGGCCCATGATGTAAGTATCCGAAAAAGTTTTTTTGTTTTTTATTTTTTTGTTTTTTGTTGTGGTGGGCGCGAGTGGATCATTCAGGTACGGGGGGCATTTTCCTGCTCCAGTCGGTATCCGGAGTTTCCGACATGTCTTGAAGAATGTCTCACTCCACCAGTTCAACACGGTGTTGTGTTTGTAAATCCAGAGATGCTGCTGTTTGTGCATGGGATAGTGACTGGATTTTTGTTGTTTGCTCCTCTCTTTCACTTATTCGTTGGATGTGGAGGTGGTCTTACCTGATAGTCTTGGGTAGTACTGGTGTATCATTATTGTACGAAGTCGAGTCCAAGAAGATGGTTCAGGGGGGCGAGCTAAAAAAAGGCCAACGTGAAAGTGGTTCAGGGACAGTCGAGGTCCGATAGGCGGAGAGATGGAAATTACCAGTTGACCAGCAAACTTACTCTGGTTAGTCTCTCAATAGTCGCCCTTGCTTTTCCCGACCGAGCGAAAGTCTGGACTTGGACGGAGTCCGACTAAGGACTAACTAAGGACTAAGTTGTGCCTAAGCGCCCTTGCGCCTCGTTCCTGCTGCCGTCCAGCCCAGTTCACACTGACAGACAGACATTCCCCTACTCTCTCGCTCTCACTCTCGCTCTCTCCATTCAAACCCTTTCTTCCCCCCCATCTCACTCACTCACTCTCTTTTCTGCTTTTCTTCCTTTCCCCCCGTTCTTGTTGCTAATTCTTCATTCCCCCAGCGACGACTTCCTCCCTCCTCCCCCCCCATACCAACCCCTCCCCTCATTCTTCCTCCTTCCTCATCTTCCTGCAACACCACCGTCACGTTCTCTTTCCACCTTTAGCAGGTGTCAGCTTCACTCTTTCAGCTGCTCACCTTGCTGTCCGTTCGTTCGTTCGTCCGTCTGACCCCCAGCCTGGTCGATCTCGATCTTCCCAGCGAGATATCACCGACCACACGCCTAACCACCAACCTCGACCAACCGACCCCATACATTCTCTCTTTTGTCCTAACGACCCTGAGTCCTTGATTAGCGTCTCAGCTGATTCTTGTCGCCATTCTTTCGTCAGACGATCATTTGTTGGAGACTATCCTAGGTGATCGCCCTATATTCTACCACCGTTCCTTCGCAGTCACAATACGGCCGTCGTAGAACGACATCGATTTTTTGAAACCTACCTGTCACGAACACCACCTCGTTCGTCTACCACTTTGGACCGGATCTCTTCGAAAGCCCGAACCGGAGACACTCCTTGAACCCGTATCACAATGTTGAACACCATTTCGAAGCTTGCTGCCCGCGATGATAGCAGTGATGGGCTGTCCCCCGCCATGGTCGACCTTCTTATCTCCCTCCTCGTGCTCGTCCTGCTCGGTCTTGTTCTGATCGGTGCTCTGCTCTTTTTGCGTCGCAGACGGGTGAGCCGTGACCACTCCGATCTTCCCGTTCATAACGGGCAATGCGTACCCAGTCATCGCCGCTTCACAGTGTCCGCTTCGCCCAATGCTAAGACGGAGTCGGTCCTTGTCTACGATGAAAAACGCAGCCTGATCGAGAACTCTTCGAGTCCCCCGCCTAGCCCCGTCCCCGAAATTCGCATTACTTTCCCGGAGGAGGAAGATGAATCCGGAAAGCGCAAGTCCGGCCGTGTGGTGGTGGTGCGGATTAGTGAGGCGGGCAGTGTCGGCTTGGAGCCCTGCAACGACGAGTTGCCGCCCTATCAAACGAGCGATGCGGAACGGTTCCAGTCCTTGGATATCGAGCGCATGGGTGGGCTCAAAGAGAAGGAGGCTTCCGCTCGATGGAATTAAGAGACTTGCCGGTGAACATGACGCGGCCATTTGATACTACCATTCGTTATCATTCGATTCCCTCAAATGACCGAACCCACCTGCCGTCGCCTCCCTGCACGCTACTCGAAAAAACATCACGACATCCCACCAACCGCCTGTTTCGTTTCCATATCCATATTTGAAGATCTCGATTTGTTGTCCTCCGGGACCATGCACATATGCAAAGTCCTCCGTCCTGTTATCGTCATCATGCCCAGCGAAACCCCTTAATCTCCGCCGCCATTTCTACAATCTTCCTCACATCGGTTGGGCGAGCAGGAACCCCGAATCTGCTAGGGGCCAATTGCTGGGTTACACCGTGTACAGCAAAGGGGATGCTGGCTCTTCTTGATTCATGCTTCTCTTTTTCTCCCTCTCATCCTTTTCGTAAGGCGTTCGATTCTTTTGTGCTTGGTCACTTCGGTACTTCTCGCCCTGCCACGTTTCTAGGGTCGAGAAGTCGTTCACGTATTTGGTTTTGTTGAATGTCTCTTTTGAGCCTTCTCCATACTGTTTCTTCTGCCACTTTACTATTCTTCCACCACCAGCTCCGAACCTTTTCTTGTCTCGGTTTGTCCCTCAAGGGTGACATGCAGCTGGGTAATGTATGTAACTATTTTCGAAGCATCGGGCGGCTTGTTATTGGCCCGTCTCGATGAGTTTCTGGCCACTCAGGTACATGAATTTTGACTCCCATCACTCCTTCGAAGACAGCTTGTTCAATATTCGATATCTAGAACGTAGTTGCGCATCGTATTCGTTGGGGTGGTAGCATAAGGGACGCTTTATCTCTATTGAAGTATACGCGATGACGACATTCGTGTTAGCTCGACAGGAGACTGGAACTTCTCGAGTCGAGACTTAGTTGTTCTTGAAGGTATGATCGTAGAACCCATGGCCGTTATGTGGGGTAGTCACCATCTCCCTATCGGGAACCACTGCGAGGGCAGTGGTGGCACGTCGCCCTCCAGGGTGGGCGTGGAGGCCGTCCCGGCCCCGCTACGTCGCCCTTCTGATCTGATGACGATGGCGTGAAGCAGCCCTCGACTGCGCAGTCCAAGCCGAGTCGGCAGATCCTCCAAGCTCACCTTACTCGCCGAGTGTGGAAGGAAGCCCGGGGTTCACCTGAGCATTGCGCGAGGTATAACTAACCCCCTCCATCCCCTTCAAGGTTCCCACGTCCCCGATCTCTTTCCTTCCTTTCCCTTGTCGAGTACCCAGGGCCTGGGATTCGGGCTGAGCGAGCACTTAGGTGGTGCTGCAGCTGTGTCGGTTTCTTGGTCTTAGGGGCAGAGCAAGTCCAGGCAGCCCAGGCAGTTCCGGTGTCGGTGGGACTCGAGCGTTGGCAAACTGTTTCTGTCGGTGCTGCGCAGGTGGTTGTTGCATGTTGGATGGACATGTCCAATACAGTACTACGTACCGTACCGTACACAAAGTGCGTTGTTCCAGTCACTCTGCGGCATGGCATTTGATCTAAGTGATCCATGTCCCCTCCCGGACCGCGCGGCTGGGTTTGGACTTGGACTTGATGTGCCGTCTGTCTGGGGAAAGGGTAGTGGGCTGACTCGGGATGGTTTGCGCTCATGTATGTGCTGCTGTCCACCTCCGCTTGCTCCCTACGGGGCAAGAATACTTATCTTATGTATATCGGTAGATGATGATTCGATTCTATGGGTAGAGGGAGCAGGTTCCTTTACACGGATCTGGTCAGCTGAATGATGATCCGGACTCAGCGTGCCTGTACTGCTGGAATCATGTGAGCTAGCTACAGCGAAGCCTACGCTCAAAGATTAGATTCGGCTCGTAGTCTTGGTCCCATGGAGTTCAATCCAAGTATCGACTTTTCTCTTCAATTGAGCACAGTACCCCGATTCCCTGGGCGACATAAAATGCCAGGCTTGACCAATCGCACTATTTAGTGTTTGTTTCCAGTGTGTGTGACAATGGAACAAAACCTAGCGTCAAAAGTTTCGAATCCCTGAGCAGGTTGAAATAGACAGAAATGGGGACTTGAGAGATTCTTTTTTTGTCGAGAACAAACAATCGAAGAACAACTTTTCTTGCACGCTGCATGGCAAATGGGGGTATTTACAAGAAAACACCGCAGGACATAGGAATAGGATAAGATAGAAAAAAAAGTTAAGATATACATTTCGTTCATCATGGCAGTGGTGTGGGAACATAAGAGACATGGATGATAAAGAGAAAACAAAAAAAGGGAGAACCGTTGTCACGGGATACCGAGCAGGCTTTCCTCCATTGTGCATGCTGGATTGAACAATAGAACCTTTTCACCTGGAGACCGGATTGCCGTTGAGATGTCTCATCGTGGCCGGAAATAAGCCCGATGATGGGAAAGCCTAACTCAGCGTCCCCAGCGGGAAAAGTCCAGGTTCTGAAGGATGTTCGCATCCGCTGCTGCGTTCCAGTCCATGGAGAAGTCACTCTTAACCGAAGCGGCGCGGGTCGGGAGTTCCTCGGAGAAGATGTTGGCCTTCGTGTTGCGTCGCTGGCCCGGATAGGTGGCTTCGGTGGTCTCCGGGTTCTGCGCCTGGGCGCCGAGGGTGCGCTCGCGGAGTCTCTTGATCTCGCGCAGCCGGTTGCGCCAGGATGAGACGTGCTCGCCACCTTGGCTGTTCCAGACGAGGGAGAGCACCGAGGCGTTCAGGGCAAGGATCCGCACAAATGCCCCAAGGTTCTTCCCGGAGATGACCTTGGGCACGGCGGCAGGCGAAATCTCCGGGAACCCGGGTTTGCTCATGACTTTCACCTGGTAGAATAGATTGTCGAAATTGCATCCCTTCAGGTCCGATACTCCCGCCTCTTCTGTGACCCGGCAGATGGGATTGATGACGATGTTCACAAAATTGAATTGCGATGGCACCGTGTTGAAGTTGAAAGGCGTATTCGACCGATTGAATACGATATTGACAAAGTCGTTGCCAAGGTGACGCTTCTTGTTGATGCAGGCCGGATCGTGATCGAAGTTTGTGGGCATCATTGTCGCAACGTGGAACACAATTTCAGTCACCCGATCCCTCCAGGCATAGGTGGAATCACCATCGGAATCAGCATGTAAGCCCTGAGTATTGAAGCGGGCACCCTGGAGAGGAACCTTGGTTCCAAGCTTCGACAGGAAATACTCATAGTCGGCGCTACCACCAGTGTTGGACAGAATCTCAGCCTCCGTGGTTTGGCCATTCTCAACATACAGCACGCCAACCTTGTGCCCATCCACAATGTCATTGCGGTCAAAACTGCTGAGGGCCCGCCGGGTCATGTCATCATCGGGCAAGAGGATGGGCTGCATAACGGTAGGTGTCGGGAAGGCCGTGGTGGTCAGCTGCAGCATTACATGACTAGGTAGAACGGCAGTTCGCATGGCGTCAGAATGCAGATGGGCATCAGGAGCCGCGGAGACTTGGTGAGCTAGGACAGGTGCGGTGCGTTGCTGATACATCGCGTACGTGGTACCTGATGCCTGCCTCTTGGTCACCTGGGTCAGGCCAGAGACCCCGGCTGTCTCAACAGTCACGATACTCATGCCGACAATCCAGGACTTTTTCGACGCGGGACCATCTTCAGGAGAGGGTGGGAATGTCGGGTACGGGATGGTATCGCCGAGATCTGAAAAAGCGGCTCTCTGCATCAAATCGATAAATACTTGACTTTGTTCTTCAACCGTTTCCTTCCCATGCTCATCCTTGAATATGAGTCTGCTGGTGATCCAGTTGACATGTTTCGCTCGGTCTTGCAGCTTGAGAGACAGAAACCAGAACACCATGACATGATATGTCAATGTGTAGATGTACTTGGACATCCCATCCTCTGACGACTCCGGGAGAGAATTCAAAGACCCGGTGCTTCCAAGTCTAACAGCGCCAGGGGTGACTCGGGTAGGTGAGTCTGTCTTAAAACGACTCTCTCTAGAAGTTTGCAGGAATCGAATACATATACCAAAGACCGTGCGGATTTCTTCGTCACGCAAGTTGACATAGACCTCAGGTAGGCGGGCGAGAAGGGCCAGGAACTCCAGAATATGGACGGCGAGATTAGACATCGTAATGACTTTGGACATTTTGTCGAGGATTCCGTTCAATGACTTTGTCACCGATAAAGGGATTTCATGGCAACAGACAGATAGGGCATGGATACAACCACGAGAAGTGCCACCCCAAGATCCGATGATACCCATCATGAAGGCGCGCACAAGCTCGTCTTCTTCGCTCTTGGCAAAGTGCTCGTGATAACTGATCAAAGCGCATAGAAACTCGAATATGTACCCGGCAACATCAGTCTTCTTAGTGCCAGTGGACGGTGGCGGTTCACGAAAACTATCGTTCTTGACCTGATCACATAAGACACTGCGCAGCAGCTTGATCTGAGGTACAGCGTTGCTGAACAGATCCTTGTTCTGTAACTGAGCTGCCAAGTGGGTCAGCACATAGCTGTAGATATCCCAATTTGTTTCGCGCTGCAAGAGTGATATGACCGTCTCCAACCACATGTTCGCCTTCAAAGCTACCTTCTGTGTCGGGTCTGATTCGACCGGACTGGATGCATTGGCGGTCGCGTAAGCATAGACATAAGGGCTAGCCTCAACCGGAGGTTCCTCTGGGAGAACTTGGGGTGCGCAAAATGTCCAGGACGGGGGCGTCGGCTTGGAGGATCGAAGGGGAGCAACGGAGTTCTGTCTGGCTGACCTGGAGAGAAGACTACCTGAGGGCTCTCGTGGCAGGTGTCGACCAGCTGAAATGGTTCGCCCTTGGTCGTTGTCGGCACTCTGGTCACCAGTGAAATCTTCATGGGGCTTGGAGCCAGCGTCAAAGCTTCTACCAGACACGTGCATCATGAAATCATCTTCAGGAGTCGAGACAACAGTAATAGACCCGGCGGCATCGCATCGCAATCTGTAGAGTAGTTTGAGAGATGTTAGACGCGAATCTACTGGCCATTCAGGAGACTGCGCTATCTTCAGCAAGGCCTCAAACACTGTGGTAGCCTTGTTTGCCGACATGTTAAGCGTTCGCAAAAAGATTTTCACAAGTCCAGCCGCACAAACATTAGCTAGAGACGACTCTAATACACTAGTGAACGATTGACGGTCTGGAGATAGCGCGGTTGGCTCCGAAGCCGCGAGACTTTCCTTCTCCAGGTCCTTACTCATGGGAGAGCTGAGGACTTGGATTAGCTGATCAAATGATTCTTGGTTGTTGATTGTGATGGAAATGGCAACCAGAAAAGCGAGCAGTGATTCAAGCAGCATTATGTCATCCTCCTCATTGAATTTCTCCAGCATGATCTTGAGTAGGCCTTTCTCTTCGAAGTAGCCAAGTGACTCGGGACTGTCAAAAGATTCCTTCAGTGTCTCTAGCGCGGTGACTCGAACCTCGGAGGACTTGGTGCGTGAGCGAATGAAGCAGCGAATCAATCTCTGGGAATGCTGTAGCCAATTCTCATGCCCAGGAGAGCAGAACCGCTCCTCCCGCATGGTCTCGAGAACGAGCTCAGCCTGTGGAGGCTCGATAAAGCGACAGGCGTTCATGAGGAAACGTGTCGAGTCTAACCGTTGCTGTTTATTCAAACGATCCCAAAGAGATTCAAGGACAGATGCTATCTGGATGGTGTTGGCAAGAATACTGGATTTGGAATCATCAACAACGCTGCCTTTAGGAGTGATTTGTTGAGAGTCAGAGAGTGTTGGGCATGGTTGCTCAGGTTCATCGACAGCCCTGGCCGAACACGCATTCATCAGGTCGACGAACGCGCCCCAGTCCTTTTCCAGAGCCACTTGGACAAAGTCTCCCTCCAAGATATTCAAACATAAATCCAGGATGTCTGCCTCCAGCCGGCCATCATCCTTCACCGTGGCGCTCCTCAAGCAGTCAATTAAATGTTCGAACTGTAGTTCTGGAATCCCGTCCTGGCCGTGTGCACGAATTATGTCCGTCAACACATACACAGTTCCCCGCACAACGTTGAGGTTCCGATTCTTTTCTTCAGAACATTCTGTCAGGAATATATATAGCTCGTTGACCATATCAACCTTTTTCTTTGACTTTGCCAAACTTCGAACAACTCTTGACGTCGGACCTGACAGAGGTTTAACAGAGGCGTGAATGCTGCACAAAACTTCAAGCAGAGGAATGAAGCTTCCATCGGGCACGTCTGCGTAAAGAATGACCGCATCGAATACGCTGAGTGAGTTCTTGATATCTGCAGCAACGCTTGTCTTTTTGCAAATGATGAAAAGTTGTTCTAACAGTGCTTGTACTTCTTCACCGGTAGGGGGCTTCCGCTGAAGAGTGATAAGATCGATCACAAACTGCAGAACGTCATCCAGAACGGCATCGTCGAAGGCGTGTCCATTTGTCTTTCCCGGCTTCACCTTCCTTGCTTTCATCCGAACGGAAGAGATAACCTCATAAAGTGGAACAAGGCAGGCAGATATCACGGGAAAGACAGAAGAGGCGGCGAATTCCAGTTTCCTGCCATGGTCTGATAGCGTTATCAAAGCTTGAACACGGGCTGGTGTGACATCGCTTTCTGAAGGACTTGATATTGACTCGAAGATCGTGCGCCGGGCTGCTGGGGACAGATCTTGTCGTGCCGCGACAGCTTCGAGCAGCAGCGAACCACTGCGTCGAGCCTCTGGGGAGCTCTCATTCTGAAGCAGATATGCTCCTGCTTCCCATAGAGCAATAGCTTGTTCCGGAGTGTACCACTGAACCGACTTCGCAACTTGTTCCGCCTCCTCGATAGCATGCCCTAAATTCTGCTTCTGGGTCAAGATTCGGAGTGCCGCATCGAAATCCCGCGCACCCGAGGTATCGGATGAGCTGGAAACCACGCTTCCACGATGCATTGATGCTTTCTCTCGCCCGATTAAGCTTTTATCGCGCTCATCCGTTGATTGTGAGGCCCGAAATTACTGCTGTGTGCGAGTGACACCAAGGAAAACGACCTGAGGTGAATAGTCCTAGGGAATAGGAGACGTCGGCGAGAGTTGCTTTTGAGTTTTGAAACTGAGAGGGAACTGCAGCATCGTCAGATTGCATGCGTTCTTATAGGCTAGAGGGCTATATTTGGCTCCTCAAGGCAACGGATCGTATAGCTGGCGGATGACTGGTTAGCAACGGGCCGTGACTGGGAGTTACAGATGCCATGGTCAGCTGAAGCAGGCAAAGTCTAGAGCAATGTTCCACTTCGCACGCAATCTCACATCACATACCATTGGTAGGTCACATGAAGATTCTAACAACGCTTAGAGGTCCGCGAAGGGTTATGAGGCTTGGATCGGGCGTTACACTTAAGAACTGTCACGACCTCTTTGAATCGATAGACAAATATACCCCGCAGTAGAAAGCTAGGGTTTTCTGCGGCGGGCAGTGACTATAACCTCAAGTATGAGGAGAGCGGTCTTGCACAGACACAGCTGAGTGAAACTATAGTAAACAATTAAATGAAATTAGATTATATCCAGAGCAAGAAAGTGCCAAGCCACTTTTCCCCTCAGAGCATCGATGATGATGATCTGGCGGAGGTCGGGAAGGGTTTGATCCGCATGATCACCTGACCCTGAATAGGCAAAATCACCCCGCGGTGGGTTGCCCTTCACCGCCTAGATTTTGCAAAGCAACCGCCAAACAAACTGCCCAAACCAGAACTTTAGCTCCCTCCGCCTCTCACTTAACCGACCTTAAACCATCTTGCCTGAACATATCATTTGGTTTACAAACGGAGCTTTGCCCACTTTCTTTAAAAAGTGATAGTCTCCTGCTGATAGCAAGCCAATTTCCCTTGACTCTCAGATAAACCTTCTATCTCTGTCATTGCCTGAGCAGCTTGATCACTACCCCACTCCTCACAATGGCTGACGGTCTTGGGGCTGTTGCGCAGCTCCTTGAGGCAAGTTTGGACCCAAGGCAAAACAAGCAAGGTTAGTCTTGTCTTTTATCTTCCTGTTGATGCTGCAATCTCGCTTCAGTGCTCTGTCCTATCAAACACTTTTGATGGCCATTCATGCACTTCGCAAAGCATATGTCTAACTTTTTTTTTCCCTAGCCGAACTTGCTCTCCGCCAGGAGGAGAAAAAGCCGGGCTTCTCTTTGCAGCTTCTCCAAATCACTGCATCTGCTACCTACCCTTATACTACCCGCTTGGCTAGTTCGCTTTGCTTCAAGAACTTCATCAAGAGGAACTGGACCGACGAGGATGGAAATTACAAGCTCCAAGCGGACGAGGTTGCAACGATTAAGCGGGAGTTGATCAGTTTGATGATCTCCGTGCCTGCAGGCATCCAAAGCCAGCTCGGAGAAGCTGTCAGCGTGATCGCTGATAGTGACTTTTGGGAGAGATGGGATACCCTCGTGGATGTAAGTCATGGCCGTCGCATTTTCGTTGCGGGGCTCTCAATTGACTTCTGTAGGATCTTGTTTCCAGGCTCCAACCGACCAACCCCACTGTCAACAACGGCGTCCTCCAAGTCGCGCACTCAATCTTCAAGAGATGGAGACCATTGTTCCGGTCGGATGAGCTGTACAGTGAAATCAATCACGTTCTCGAGAGATTCGGCAGTCCCTTCTTGGCTCTGTTCGAGGTACATATACTCCGGAATGCCCTACCGTCTATTCAAGACTATAAAATTGCGGTATTCATGTGCTGATTGGTTTTAGGGCTTGGATGCTTTCCTCCAACAAAACACTGCCAACAAAGAAAATCTCATCCAGGGATTTACCCAGCTCAACTTGATGGTCAAGTTGATGTACGACCTCTCTTGCCACGATCTTCCACCAATGTTCGAAGAAAATATTTCAGGGATAGCTTCACTTCTACTTAAGTACCTCACATACGATAACCAACTGCTGCACACCGATGATGACACCGAAGCCGGGCCATTGGAGTTCGCCCGCGCCGGGATCTTCCAAGTCTTGACTCTTTATGTCCAGAAGTACATGGATGAGTTCAAGCCTCATGTCGGCCAATTTGTCGAAAGCTCCTGGAACTTCCTGACCACCGTTGGGCAGGAGACCAAGTACGACATTCTGGTTAGCCGAGCTCTGCAGTTCTTGACTTCCATTGCTGGCATGTCTGAGCACGCAGTTGTCTTCCAAGCGGAAGGCACACTTGGCCAGATCATCGAGAAGGTCATTTTGCCCAACGTTAGCTTGCGCGAATCCGACGAGGAGCTTTTCGAGGATGAGCCCATCGAGTTCATCCGTCGTGACCTTGAGGGTTCCGACAGCGATACCAGACGCCGTGCCGCCACCGACTTCTTGCGTCGGTTGTCGGAGAGATTCGAAGAATCCGTCACTACTGTTGTCCTCAAGTATACGGAGCACTACCTTGCGGAGTATGCCAAGGATCCTGCTTCGAACTGGAAGGCTAAGGATACCGCCACTTATCTCTACTCCGCAATCGCAGCCAAGGGACTTGCCACTGCCAGCCACGGTGTAACAGCCACGAACTCGCTCATTAGCATCACCGATTACTTCCAGAAGCACCTTGCTGCCGATCTTGTAAACAGTGAGGGAGTCCACCCAATTCTCAAGGTGGATGCCATCAAGTATTTGTACCTCTTCCGGAGCATCATAACCAAGGAACAGTGGCAAGAGGTGCTTCCTATGCTTGTCAACCAGCTTGGCTCTTCGAACTTCGTTGTGTACAGCTACGCCGCTATTGCTGTCGAGCGAGTTCTTTACCTTGCCGATGCCCAGGGCCAGCCAATCATCGCTCCTGGCACTATCACTCCCTTGGCCAAGGATCTACTAGAACACATTTTCTCCCTGATTGAAAAGGACCCCGCTCCCGAGAAGGTTCAGGAGAATGAGTTCCTGATGAGATGTGCCATGAGAGTTCTTATCGTCATCAAGGAGGGTGTTGTTCCCCACACCGACAGTGTCCTCCAACACCTGATCAACATCACGACTGTGATCAGCCGCAACCCCAGTAACCCTAGGTTCTATTACTTCCACTTCGAAGCTTTGGGTGCCTTTATCCGGTATGTGTGCGATCTGGCCGTCCGCGCTCCAAGCACTGACCTTTTCCTAGTTTTGCCGCCCCCAGCAATCCGGAGAAACTCGAGCAAGCTCTTTACACGCCTTTTGCTGAAATTCTACAAGGTGACGTTCAAGGTAATATAGTCTGCAAGCATAAATTCTCACGGACTGTTGCTGATATATGTACAGAGTTCATGCCTTATATCTTCCAGCTTTTTGCCGCTCTCCTCGAGGCCAATCCTTCCGGAACCTTGCCGAGCTATTACCAGAACCTGATTGGACCTATTCTCATGCCTGTCATGTGGGAGTCGAAGGGTAACATTCCGGCGCTGGTGCGGCTGTTGTCCAGCATTATTCCTCGTGGTGCTGAGTACATCATCCAAAATGACCAAGTTGCACCTATCCTTGGTATCTTCCAGAAGTTGCTCTCCACCAAGACCAACGAGGGTTATGGATTCGACTTGTTGGAGGCGGTCGTTACAGGATTCCCTCCGTAGGTTGACCACTCAAGCAAAAACTCACAATAGAACGTGCTGCTGACAGCTTCGCAGTGCTACGCTTGAGCAGTATTTCGTCTCCATCATGCAGGTCATCCTCACTCGTCTCCAGAATTCGAAGACTGAGAACCTTACTATTCGATTCGTTCGTTTCTTCCACTTTGTCTCTGCACAGGACGAGAAGGGCTACAGCGCCGACTTCTTCATTCAAGTGGTAGACAAGGTACAACCGGAGTAAGAATCTTTCCGTCCTAGTAACCGCTAGCTCGCATGCTAATCTATGTTCAAAGCCTGTTCACGCCTATCTACTTGAACATCATTCTTCCAGAGACGCAGAAGCTCGCCCGTCCCTTGGACCGCAAGACTGCCGTGCTGTCGTTTACCAAGACTCTGGCTAACTCGGAGGCATTTGCTAGCCGCTATAAGAAGGGATGGGCTTTTACCTGCGAGGCTCTTCTCAAACTTTTGGAGCTTCCTCCTCTTCCTGCGAGCAAGGACGACATTATTGCTGAGCATGACGTCGAGGACATGGCATTTGGTGTCGGTTTCACCGCGCTGAACAGCATCCGGCCCGTGCCTCGTGATCCTTGGCCCGAGACCGGTGCTGATCTTAAGGTCTGGACGGGCAAGTACCTGAAGGAAGCGGACGCTAAATCAAGTGGCCGGATATCTGGCTTCGTTCAAGAGCGTCTAGGTGAGGATGCCAAGCGCGTGCTCACCAGTTACATCGCATAATCAAATTCGACTTAGGTTGTCATCCTAAGTCTGGGTACTTTGCTGGCGTCCCTCAAACTTTTGCATATTCCCCTTAAAATAAACCATGGAGAGGAAATAGTATGTGGGAGCAAGCAGCTCTCCGTATGTCCTGATGAACTATAAATGAACATTTTTAATCTGCTATAATGGTTATATTTAATTCAATCTGTATGTAACAACGGCACGTACGGCGCGTATTCATCTCGATAAACACGCCATTTCAAAACGCGTTATCTAGAATTTATGGAGAAAACGAAAAAGCTGCAGTACCTGCTGTAACTCTCGAGGAAATGATGGCTAATAGGCTTGTCTATCTCTTCTGCTCAGGCTCCTGTGCTTCTGAGAGCTCGTTGGCTTTGTCTTCTTCATGGCGATGGGAGTCAGTATTGCTCGCGTTGTCTTCCTCATCGTGAGGTTTCTCCACCCCCTCGACCTCTTCTGTTACTCCTTCCTGGCCCTTCTCCAGCTCCCGATATTTGCGCCGAGCCTTCTTCACCTTACTTGCCTTCTTCTTTCGCGCGCGGTCAGCCTTGATGGCGGCACGACTCTTGTCCCCATTCAGAAGCTCCTCGACCTTATCCGCTAGGATGTGACGAGCATATTTCTCGTTTTGCGACCTCGACCGGGTAGCTTGCGATTTGACGACTATGCCAGTGGGCTTGTGAATAATCTGGACGGCGGAATTGGTTTTGTTCTGGGCGGATAATGCCGGACGAGTTAGCGCTGTACGGGAGGGGGGGGAAAGGTTTCCAAAGGGCTCCCTGAGAGTGACGTACAATTTTTTGACCACCGGGACCGGTGCCCTTCAGGTAAGATATCGTCAAGTCGGCATCTTGGAACTTTAGGCGAGGAGGGAGTGGCTTGTCGGCCAGAGAGAGGGCGGAGAGAGAGAATGACCGCCGCAAGAGATTGGGAGTCGAGATGAGTGTGAAGGGGTTAGTATGACGAGTTATTTGTGAGGGACGAAACATGGTGATTGAAGGAGCTGTGGCAGTAGTAATGGCTGTAGTAGCTACGGAGCACTGAGTAAGCCTACAATATACTCGGAATGCTCATGATTGATTGTTCTTCTTGCTTGTAATGTATTGATGGTATGGCCCTTACCATACCGACTCAGCACACTTGAGTGCCAGTTACAGTAAGTTTCTTCCACAACTTTGACAATCTTCATTACACATTAATATATCAAACACTCATTCAACGATTCCTCATAGTCGAACAGTGACCTGCATCTGGGACCCTCACGGCGTTGTGTCCTGGACTTCCGATGAGGTTTGAATTACACTCTGGATTGTTTCTGTCCAGCCATAGAAAATCCTCTGCTAACTTAGTGGAAAGGCTGACGTACGCTTTTCTGTGGATTCATGGAGTGACACGCCAATCATTCATCGAGCACAGCCACTGGAACCAAGCTCGCTGTTACGGTACGAGTACGAGAAAGCGAAACTGCGCATAAAATGGATGTACTCGAGTACCCTGGCTGCTGCTGGACTGGACCCTTCTTACTAGTGGAACCTGAGTCTTTTATGCTGCGGTCTCCGTAACGTTAGTGGTAGACACTTTATCTGCTTAGTGTCCTGCGGCCAATTTGAAACAGTGTCCAGATCCAGCATGGACTTGACGGGGGGTTCGATTTAGCTTTCCATTCGCTCCCTACTGCTTTTTTTTCCTTGAGGCTACTCAATCTTAACGTATTTCCCAACCATTCTACAGCTGCTGTTCTTTTTCTTTCCACTCCCTCAACCCACCCCCCCCCCCCCCCCACTTTAGGAGACACGACGGGAAGAAGCTACCTGCCACTTCTACTTCTACAGTTGTACTTCCTACTGGCCCTTTATCCGCTCAACTGGCTGCGCATAAGTCTTTAGTGAACCTTTTCTTGTCCCACGGAGATTCCTTCAACCCGCACTCCGTTGTCTCACCCGCTTACCTATCGGCCATTTACTTGTCTGCCTAGACTATAACTTCCTGAGCTCGTCGCTTCGCTTCAGCTGTCAGTTTCTCTGTCTGTCAGATCATGGATGCTTGGTAGATCTTGGCACCACCTGCTCTCATCCCTTCTTCAACCACCACTCAACAAAGTGCATCTCTCCTAAGAGCACCCACGATAGATCCCCTGAAGCCGACTCTCCCCACATCACCATCGCCTGGTTGCTACACCATATTTCTCAATCAGTCTTATCAGCTGCCTATTTTCCTCAGTCAGCTTGAACGCGTTCGCAATTGGCGGATCCACAGCAATGACATTTCTGCTTTGGCTTGTCACGAATCTCGTGCGCTGGGTGCGACTGAAGATCTATCAGTATGAGGTGACTTTCGCCGTGTATATGCTCACCCCTACAGAAAAGTTCATCTTTAGTACGTCAAGCTGTGTCCCTCCGAAGCGATTTATGCTTAAGGAACTATGTCCCCATCCCCCGGATATGGCGCGCTAACACTGGAACTCAAAAAGATTCTCTCCTCCTCACCCTCCTCACCATGATTATCACCGGCATTTACGTCTATTTGCCCGATCATATCCGAGCCATTTACAGTCACTTATACTACTACTGGGTCGGCGAACGTCCATTCATCTCCGGGAATCTTCCGACCATCAGTTCAGTATTCCGCGAAGTCGGCACTCAAACGATGGATGTCCTCTACGAAACAGCGAAGAACCAAGCTGCCACGGTCACTGATTCGATTGCCGAACTCTGACCTCCCTCATTGCCTTGGTCTCCGCACTGATGTGTCTTCTACCTCCCCACCTCCTCTCGGACTTCGGCTTCCGGAAGTTCGGAAACAACGATGCACTTTGCTTACTGAGGTGCATTTCCAGCTGTGATACCATTGGGGCCTATTACCATTCTTTCTGCTATCACCATTTGCATTACTACCGCTTCTTAATACACCCCCCACACATCTGCTGCACCCCACATCTATTCGTCCTCGAGCATGAATTGCATCAGCATTGCACGATAAAGCGCAGCTTCTTTTACCTCCTGGTTCATGATACTGTTGCAACGTTGTTTCATGGCGTTTGAGCGATACAATCTTCCCTGGGTCGGCGCATTCTAGGCGTTTATCGTTAGATCCTCCTCCTTGTGACCTTTTTTTTTTTTTTTCAAAGCCCGCCACCTTGACTTGTCTTCCTGTCCATACTGTATTGAGGCTACTATTGTTATGAGTGAATATCCCTATAGAGCCTGTCGAATGTTGTGCCTGCCTCCGAGGCCATTTTGGCCGAACATCGTTCATGAATGGCACTGCGAAGAATAAGCTTGGTTCTGTAACGCAGACTGTAAAATCTACATGTCGTAGGTACAGCGCAGCGTATCCGTGCGATTCAGTCATGCAGACACCGAGACTCGAGACGAACATACACTACCATTAAGCATTGAAGTACAATTTTGGTCTGCAGCTAAAGAAAAAAACTCCCGAGAACAAAAAACAAAAACAGCCCTCCATCCCAAATATACAACTCCGGTCATGCTCAGGAAAAAGTGTTATACAACGAGAGAAAACAAGGAGAATAAACAAGTACACCCCCAGCCAGAGACAGTACATAATCGAGGGTACCAACCTCACCATATCGGAGCGGACACGGACACGGACACTGATAACCCACCCCGACCCTCTCCCCCGCTGGGGAATCCAACGCAAACAATCAACCAAGGCATAAATCTCTTTTCCCTCCGGGTCAGGATGTCAAGGCAAAGCCTGGCATTTGATCCATCCACACCGCAACGCAACCTTTTTTTTTGTTCCATCCCGCTCAAACAAAACAAGTCACTCGAAAAGGAGGGAGACTACTCTGCGGATGCTTCCGTCTGCGCGCGAGACTGCGCCTGAGCCAGCTGCAGCTCCGCCTCCGCCGCCTCCCGCTGCCTCCGCTCCCGGCGGATGGCGTCGTTCATGCGCATGCGGTTCAGCTCGCGGTCGATCTCCTCCTTCTCGAGCGGGATCTTGTGGGATTGTTCGGCGGTGGGCCAGAAGCCCCTGACGGTGAAGCGGTCGTCGAGGTTCGTGCCGAAGTAGTACATCCAGCCGATGGGGAAGAGGATGTAGGTTCCGAACTGGTGCGCAGGTGACAAGGGTTAGAAATGGGTTGTTGTTCGGCATGGGGTATGCTTGTAGGAAAGCGGATATTACCTTGAAGACCTCGAGGTTTCCACCCTGGAGTTTGCGGAGGATGGAAGACATCTTGTGCGATTTGTGGCGGAGTGGAGGAGTGTGAGGGGGGGGGGGATGGGATGTACGAGAGTCTGATGCCGTGTATACGGGTTTGCTTGGTGGTTGTATTGGAAGTGTTTTCTTGAACGAATATCGATGTCGTTGGTTGTAGTCTGTCTGTCCGGATTCAAGCCAGTCAGTCAGTCTCCGGGGCGGGAACTTTTGGTGATGCTCTCCAATGGTCTGATACGAATCGATTATCTTCACGGAGCTTCTGACAAGCCGAACCCGCCGCAAAGCCCGGGATCCGTGCAAACGCAGCAAACACCCCACGTGCAATACGCCGCTTTAGAAGGTCATGTGACCATATGTACGAATACTCGGCGGTGCCGTGAGCCTCGGCTTGTTCGTTTCCTATGCTCGGCCCGCTGGAATCTCCCCGCATAAGCAGGGCTAGCGTTCTGCAGCAGCGGAGACTGGCCCCGTCTACTTACCTAGCCCCCAGTGTTTCTCCAGAATAGATATAACTACCTGCTCTTTCTTTTCCGTTGCTCCTTTACTCCGTAGAATTTCGTGTCCGGTGCATGAATTTGGTCGAATTTAGCCTCCATTGCATAACGGTTCCAACGCACAAGGTCGTGTGATCTGAATCTCCTGCGTGAAGTTGCCTCACTCACCGGAGGAAGTGCATAGACACATACATCAGCATTAGAAATCCCCCCCCCGGCCACACATCGCCCTACACATAAGGACAATACAAGCCCATCCAACATGACGGACGAGAGCCTCATCACCATCACCTACCATGGCCGAATCGCCATCATCACGCTGAACCGACCCCAGAAACTCAATGCCCTGGACCAAGACCTCTACTATCTACTAGGCGAACGGCTCCGCGAAGCCGACGCAAACAAGGACACCTACATCACGATCCTGACCGGCAAGGGACGATTCTTCTCCGCGTGAGTTTCTTCTTTTGCCCGAAGCCCCGACTGCCCAAACCCAACTAACCCTGCAAAAAACCCTCAGGGGCGCCGACGTAACCATCACCCGCCCGGACGGCGGCAGCCTGAACAGCAGCGCGCGCCGCGACCTCCTCCGGGGGTTCGTGGCCAACAACCTGGACATCACGCGGACGTTCGCGCACCACCGGAAGATCCTGATCGTGGCGCTCAACGGGCCGGCCGTGGGGCTGTCCGCCGCATTGATCGCGCAGGCGGACTTCATCTACGCCGCGCCGCACACCTTCCTGCTGACGCCGTTCTCCTCGCTGGGGCTGGTGGCCGAGGGCGGGGCGTCGCACGCCTTCGTCGAGCGGCTGGGCATCGCCCGGGCCAACGAGGCGCTGCTCATGAGTCGGCGCATCCCGTGCGAGGCGCTGGTCGCCGCCGGGTTCGTCAACGCCGTGGTGACCCCGGAGTCTGGGCGCGTCGACGACTCCGATGGGTTTTTGGGCAAGGTGCTCGCCGAGGTGGAGGAGCGGCTGGGCACGCATTTGAACCAGGAGAGTCTGTTGCGGATTAAGGAGTTGGTGAGGCGGCCCGGGAGGGAGGTGCTCGATCGCCAGAATGGGTTGGAGGTGTTTGCTGGGTTGGAGCGGTTTCTTAGTGGGGTGCCGCAGGAGGAGTTTCGGAAGTTGGCCTCGGGGGAGAAGAAGCATAAATTGTAGGGGTTGGGGTTGTTGAATGATTTTTGACGGGGAGGAGGGGAGAGATTGTGCTTGTATTGCGCTGGGCCGGGCTCATATGATACATCCTTCAAGCGCCGGGGAGAGGGTCATGAGTTTGTATTGTAAACAGCTCAACAATGGTTGAATTCATAAAGCCTAATTCTGATATCACAGATTCTATCTTCACGAACGCCCTCGAAACCTGAACACCATCACCTAACCTAGTAATCTCATTTCATAAAAAACATCACTCGTCCGAATCGGATTCCTGGGTCTGCTTGGCAAGGATATCCTGCCACTGCCCGAGGAACTCGCTCATGCCCCCGGGGCCCGTAAGGGAGGCATCCACCACTTCCTTGGGCAACTTATGCGCCGAGTACTGTGGCGTTGTGAAAGCATATGCCTCGGGGTCATCGCGCTTCACCAGCCGGAACTCCGCGAACAGCGGGGCATCGTCATCGTCCCCGCCCTCGTTCTCGGATTCCGACTCGGACTTGGAGTCGGGCTCTTCTGCCTCCTCTTCCACTGCACCGTTGGCACCGCGGAGAGACAACCGAACGAACTGCTCTTCCGCGCCATCGTCTTCCTCCTCCTCCAGGATACCGACGGGGTCCTTCATCGTCAGGATCTCGAGCCAGCTGAAAAGCAGCGAATCGGTCCGCTCGGCCCATGGGTTGATGTCGATCAGCCAGACCTTCTCGTGGGGCGGCGGAATGTAGACGTCGAACACGAAGCTCGGATCGGGGAACGTGCTCTTCAGCTTGTCGTCGAAGAACGCTTGGATACGCGACCGGAGCGCATCGCGCATGGGGAACAGGAAGTCGAAGTGATTCTGGTCGCGCTGGCAGATGCAGAGCAGCACACGGTTGCGCACCCAGCACCGGAATTCGAGAGACGGGTTGAAGTTGACGTATTTGCGGAGGATGAGGTGGTAGGGGACCTCAGGCGGAGTCTCGGAGGACGCGGAGTCGGCAGGTGCGGCATCAGCGGCGGCAGCGTCGGGAACGCAATCATCGAAGGGATGTTCCAGGTCATGAGTGATGAAATCACTGCTCTTGAGCAGCAGATAAATGTCGTTGGGCGTGCGGCACTGTAAGTCGTTGGTGGCCGACATCCAGGTTGCATCTTTCGGAGCACTCCAGTTCAGCTTCGGTGTCACTTTCCCCCCGTATTCGCTGATCGTGGACTTGATTTGGGAGTGGATCTCGGGCCACTCGACTGATGGGTCTGCCTCTTCGGCTTCGCCATCGTCGGAAAAGGTGTCGAGGTTATCGTCGTCGTCTGTGGGCGGGGCAGCCTCCGGCGGCAGAACAATACCGTCGGCACGCAGGTAGGAGACGAACTGGGTGCTGAGGGGAATCACTCGGGATTTGGGGACAAACGACCGGTACCTGCAGAATGCAAGGGGTCTCAGTCAGTACGCCTAACCAGAGTTGACTGGCTGGTGATGGGTCGAACGTACCGAGGTTGCCAGCTGTGATACGAGCAGTTCAAGATGTGGGAGTGTGTAATCGGAGGAAAGGGTAGTCTTGTCAAGGGTTCGGAGGGAGTCCCCTCTGCTGCAGGTGTCTCTGGAGGGTCAATATGAGGCATGGTGGCGAAAAGGTGCAAGCGATGCAAGGTTGGATGCGAGATTTGTATCCGCAGAAAGAATGGTCCCTTGTCGATCGCAAAGAGAGTCTGCGGGGCAGCCACTTTTTTTGGGAGTGAGTCAAGTTCCTTGCCCAATGGGGAATAGTGTACGGAGTACCAGACGGACAATGCCACGTGCTGCCTCAGGCACGACCGATCGTCATCCACTCGTTCTGGCCTGCGTAGCAACATCGACAGGACCCCCGGCCTTATCGGCGTCACCTTCTTCGGCAGTCGTTGGCCATCTTTGGCAAGCACTCGGTGATTTTCCCCATGGCTTCAGACGGCCCGGATCCTCAGAGCCTGAAATCATGGCAGGATGCATTCCAATATCCAATTCCAACCGTGCGCCGCGTGGAGCAGGAGCTGCGGCGGGACATTGCGAGCAATAAGGAGAGGCTCCGAGCTCTGGTTGGGTATGCCGTGGTCGCCCCGGGATTTGGACTGACAGGCGGCTGATTGTTGCTTGTGAATATAGGACGCGATATAGAGAGCTTGTGGGGACCGCCGAGAAGATCGTTTCTATGAACCGTGAGATGGAGGAGGTGGATTCAACGCTGGCGGACATAGGGCGAAGGTGTAACCCGCGGTTAATGGAGAAAACGTACACCCATGTCCAGGCAGTCGCGTCGAATAAGGGTATAGCTCGTTCTAAGCGCGCGATTGATTCGCTATATACTGATGGATAGTACCAGACTCTCCCGAGCGAGCTCTCACAGGCCAGCTTGCCTTACTTCATCGCTCCGCGGTGTCGATGTCAAGGCTCCTCAGACGGCGAGGCCCGCTCCTACTCATCGCCAAGCTCATGGTCATCTCACGGCTGCTTCATAAGACCCTATCGCAACAACCGACAGTGCCGCCCTTCGTCGAGAACCTCCGCAATCAACTCGCTTCCCTCCGCCGAACCCTGCTGCGAAGAGTCGATAAGCGCCTTGCTCCTGCCAAGTCAACGCCAGACGAAATCATTGAAGCGCTGGCTGCTTACTGCCTAGCCACCAGCTCTTCTTCAGACGATGCGATCCGATACTTCCATCAAATACGTCTAGATGCTATTGGGAGCCAGCTCGAACTCAATGACCCTCCAGGCGAGAACATCCTGAACAGCTTGCGCCTTTACATTCGCACGTTACAAACTTCCAAGGTCCTACTTTCGCGGCGGCTGTCCGACGTACTAAACAAGTTGAAAGCGCGGCCACTTCTCACAGACCCCGAGGTTTGCGACCTAGACGATCTGGACCTTGGTGTCCTAGGGCGATGGGTAACTTCAGATGTCAGCAACTTCACCCCTTGGATCAAATTGAGCGAACTGTCCAGGGCGGAAGTCGATAACATCATCAAGACGTGGTCAGAAGCTGCCTTCGACAAGTATATGCAGGGGTCTCGAGAGTCATTGAAGAACTGGTCGGATTTCTCTAAACTTCTTACACTTCGTGAGCAAGTGTTAGAACTCTGGTTAGGCTCCCGGAGCTCAACGCCCGCCCACTCGTCTCTGCGGGTGCTGGAGGGCATCAGGTCTGTTTTGAACGAACGACTCACCCGTATTCTGGCGGACCAAGCAAAAGACTTGGATCAGTTCGGCCAAAGTATTGCATCCACCGTCGCGGGCTGGAGCAATTTGGATCACACATACTCCCACTCACTTTGGGACGAGCATCTTATCTCAATTGACTACTCCAATGGTTCCGCTTACTTCAAAGAAGCTGTTGTGGATAGGCTTTTGGGAAGAGACGGGGACATTGTCATATCTCTCGGAAAGTACCAAGCTTGGCTTGTATCGGTAGACAAGTCCAAAAGTTCTATCGACGCTTTGCGCCAAATTCGATGGTCTGATATTATCGATGAAGGCGAGGACGAAGACTTAGACGTGGACATTCCGGGAATCTTGACTGATGATGATCCCCGG